ATTGGAAACACAGGTCTGTAGCCATTGGGAAAAGGGCATTTAATTTTTTCCACATATATTCAGCTACTAATACTGTTTTAATCTTGGCACTAAGGTAGTTCACAACATCTAAGGGATCTAATAAATAAACCAACATAGACTAGTGTTCTTCAAGACTTATAACAGAATTAATGGTAATTTTTGTAATTGAGAATATGTTATAGTAATACTGCTTTTAATGTTTCACAGTATTCAGAAATTTAATGGTTTGTTTTAAAGTTGACTTGTTAATAAAAAGTAGATTAAGAAAAGTTTCTAAATTTTTTTTTGTTTGTTTATAACGACAATAGGTTAACTTTCCCAAAGTAAAAGGATTTTGTCTGCAGTATTTAATAGGTCATGTGACAAATCAGTTGCATGAAAATACCTAGGAAACTTGTATTATAAATGAAGATACAGATTTAGAGCTTAAAGCTGGTTAATGAGTCCTTTTGGTCTCTAAAAGTATTATGTCTTTAAACTTTCACTTCAGTCTTTTTTTTTGTTTACCACCTCCTTGAGGGTCTTATTTCAAAGGAAAAGTAGTAGTAGTAGTAGAGAGCTGTAGTGGAAAACATGTTTTTAATGTTAGATGTCTTAATACGATTCCTGGAAGTTCTCTCTAGTCATTTCTTAAGTCCCATGTACAAATGTGACCTGCCCTACAAGAGACTGGAGGGTTAGTAATGAGGTTTGTAAAGCACCTATTAACAGTGCTTAATAGGTAGAAGGCACTCTGTTTAAAGGGTACATTTAGCAGTATAATTAAAATGATTTAGCCTATGTGATACACACTCATTGCTTGAAATTAAAAAAAATATTTTTTGCTACTCATAAAATACGCAGTAATGACAAGTAAAATTTATTATACTAATTAAACTTTTAAAGTCAACTGAGAAAAAGTCAGTTGTAGGTAGCCCTTTTTTTTTTTTTAAAGGAATGTGTATCTTGGGGGAGGGGAAGAAATTATTTAGAAGAATGGCTTTCAAACTGTAGACAGAACTTTTGCATACATGGTTAGTAGTATAGTAGGATATTTAGCACTGTGACATTAGGACTACCTTCTGTTAACAGCACTTTTTTATTTTTAGCCACATAGACAGCTAGAAAAAACGGGAAGAGTTGGATGTTTTCTCCAATATTGTGTTCTTTTAAGGATCTTGAACTCTTTATTGCTTAGCAACTAAAATGCTTTCACCATTCAGTTAGTAGCACAAGGGAGATGCTAGGTTTTCTCTCCCTTTAGTTTGCTTTTGTGTCTTTTTTTTTTTTTTTTTTAAACCCTGCTGGAGTTTTAAGTTTATAAAGAACATTATGTAAGAATGATAGGATTAGAATACATTAGGATGCAAATACTAGAAGTATCATCAGAAAGTAAAATTGCCACAGGAAAGAACATGATTGATGTAGAGATTGAAATGAGTGGCGATAGTATGGGAGGTATTTGATTCTGAGTAGAAGGCTTATCCCTTCAAAGCATCTGACAAAATGGCAACTTGACCAAGTAACTTTTACTATGTGAGGATCTTTGTTACAACTTTTCCTCTAGTTGGGTATGGTTATCTAGTTAGATATTCTCAGGGAGAAGATCAGAACATTGCTAAAATGTGCTTTGGCCCTAGATAAGTCACATCATTATTCTTTCTGCCTTGTATCATTTGTCATGACACATTATACCCATGAGTCCTTTAATGAGATCAAATAAAAATGTGTGTAATTGTATTTTCAAGTATACACATTAACTCTTCTAATCACAGACTCAAAATGGAAACAGGTATCTATCTGATCATTTCAGGCAACCACAGTGGTTCTGGTGGATTTCTGGGTAGAGAACAACCATATTATTGAGTGTCTAACAGTGTATTTTGCTGATTGATGTATGGGATAGTCATTAATATGGTATTGTATTTGCTACCTGAGGAAAAGATTGTGGTTGAAATAAAGCATCAAAGCCAGGATAAGTATTCAATTTTGTTTTTTTTTTTTTTTTTTTTTTTTTTTTTAATGAGACAATGTCTCGCTCATCGCCCAGGCTGGAGTGCAGTTGCCTGATCTCAGCTCACTGCAACCTCCTACACAGTTCTCCTGTCTCAGCCTCCCAAGTATCTGGGATTATAGGCATGCGCCACCATGCCCAGCTAATTTTTGCATTTTTAGGAGACGGGATTTCACCCTGTTGGCCAGGCTGGTCTTGAACTCCTGACCTTTTGATCCTCCTGCCTCGGCCTCCCAAAGTGCTGGGATTAACAAGTGTGAGCCTCCACATTCAGCCGAGCATATGATTTTTTAAAAGATTGGAATAAAAGCCAAGCTAAAGAGTATGAGATATCTTTGTCAGAGATGATTATAAGAGTGCTTCCTGCCCTCTTTTTGATGCTTTCTTGTTTATGACCATAGAGTTAAACTGATGATAAAGTATAGTATAAGAGAAAGGTAATTGACAGATTTTAAAGTCATCAAACCTTTTTCTTGCTCTGTCACACAGGCTGGAACACAAAGGCATGATCACAGCTCACTACAGCCTTGACCTCCCCAGCTCAGTCTTCCCACCTCAGCCTCCTGAGTAGCTGGGACTATAAGTGCGTGTCCCACCACACCTGGCTCATTATTAAACATTTTTCTTTTTTTTTTTGAGACGGAGTTTCACTCTTGTTGCCCAGGCTGGAGTGCAATGGCGCGATCTCGGCTCACCGCAACCTCCGCCTCCTGGCTTCAGGCAATTCTCCTGCCTCAACCTCCTAAGTAGCTGGGATTACAGGCACGCGCCACCATGCCCAGCTAATGTTTTGTATTTTTAGTAGAGATGGGGTTTCACCATGTTGACCAGGATGGTCTCGATCTCTTGACCTCGTGATCCACCCGCCTCAGCCTCCCAAAGTGCTGGGATTACAGGCTTGAGCCACCACGCCCGGCTATTAAACATTTTTCTTTGTTGCCAGCCTAGTCTTGAACTCCTGGGTTTACAGACATGAGCCACCACATCTGGCCCAAACTTTTTGCTTACAACTTTTAATAGAAAAGAAATAGGAAGAATCTGATTAAGTTATAAAACAACCTTTAAAGATATAAAAGTGAAAAAGATTAAGCCATTGCTTCTTGTCAATAGAATTAAAAGCTGTTGGTAAAAATATGTTAATGTTGTGTGAAAAACTTTTTTTTTTTGAGATAAGATCTCTGCTCATTGCAACCTCTGCCTCCCGGGTTCATGCGTTCTCTTGCCTCAGCCTCCCTAGTAGTTGGGATTACAGGCTTGCGCCACTTTGCCCAGCTAATTTTGTATTTTTAGTAGAGATGGGGTTTGTCCATGTTGGTCAGGCTAGTCTTGAACCCCTGACCTCATGATCGCCCGCCTCTGTCTGTCGAAGTTGGGATTACAGGCGTAAGCCACCGCGCCCAGCCAAAAGATTCTTAAGTATACTATTAACATGGCCAGGCGTGATAGCTCACGTCTGTAATCCCAGCACTTTGCGAGGCCGAGGCGGGCGGATCACCTGAGGTCCGGAGGTCAAGACCAGCCTGGCAAACATGGTAAAACCACGTCCCTACTAAAAATGCAAAAAAATTAGCTGGGTATGGTGACCAACACCTGTAATTCCAGCTACTCGGGAGGCTGAGATAGGAGAATCGCTTGAACCTGGGAGGTGGAGGTTTCAGTGAGCCAAGATTGCGGCATTGCACTCCAGCCTGGGCATCAAGAGTGAAAACCATCTCAAGTATACTATTAACATAAAATTTGGTAGCCGTACAACCCTGTTCATGAAATTTACACACATGACATGAAAATATGGATAGGAAAAGACACCAAGCTTATGAAAGAGATTGCCTTTTAAAGAAGGAACAGGCGTAATCCCAGAACATTGGGAGGCCAAGGCAGGTGGATCACGAGGTCTGGATTTTGAGACCAGCCTGGCCAATGTGGTGAAACCTCGTCTCTCCTAAAAATACAAAATTAGCTGGATGTGGTGGTGGGCACACGTAATACCAGCTATTCAGGAGGTTGAGAATTGTTTGAACCATGGCGGTGGAGGTTGCAGTGAGCCGAGATCACAGCATTGCACTCCAGCATGAAGGACGGAGTGAGACTCTTGACTCAAAGAGCACAGGAAGGAAATGGCAAAAGGGAAAGGCACAAAGGTGGTTTCCATAAATTTGTTATTTTATGTTAAAAGAAAAACTGACACAAACACGAGATGATGAGTACATAGCTTAATATTTCTGGGTTTGCATGTTAAAAATATGAAAACAGCCGGGCATGGTGGCTCAAGCCTGTAATCCCAGCACTTTGGGAGGCCGAGGCAGGTGGATCACGAGGTCAAGAGATCAAGACCATCCTGGTCAACATGGTGAAACCCCGTCTCTACTAAAAATACAAAAAATTAGCTGGGCATGGTGGCGCGTGCCTGTAATCCCAGCTACTCAGGAGGCTGAGGCAGGAGAATTGCCTGAAGCCAGGAGGTGGAGGTTGCGGTGAGCGGAGATTGCGCCATTGCACTCCAGCCTGGGTAACAAGAGTGAGACTCCGTCTCAAAAAAAAAAAAAAAAAAAAAAATATGAAAACATAAAAAAAATACTTTTCTCCAAAACAAGGATTTCATATATGAAATTAGTGAAATTTCAGAATGGAGAAAGGATGGTTACAATAAATTTTAAGAGCTTTTTAAAGAGTATGTAAGTATTTGGGATTTGTGGTCTTACTTAGACCTAGTTTTCAGCAGTCTTTCCATGAAACGTATTTTTGTAGTTAGAGAGATCTTGGTAACTCGTAAAGCAGAGTGCCCCGCTACGTTACATTACATAACTTATCTAAGCAGATGTAATTTCTTGTTTTTCCAGAGACAGGGTCTCTGCTCTGTTGCCGAGGCTGAAGTGCAGTGGCACCATCATAGCTTGCTGCAGCCTTAATCTCCTGGGCTTAAGTGATCCTCCCACCTCAGCCGTCTGAGTAGCTAGGACTACAGGTGCAAGCCACCATGTGCAGCTTTTTTTTTTTGGAATGCTTCACAAATTTACGTGTCATCCTTGTGCAGGGGCCATGCTAATCTCTGTATAGTTCCAATTTTAGTATATGTGCTGCTGAAGGGAGCACAGCTTTTTTCTTTTAATTTTTATTTATTTTTATTTTTATTTTATTTTATTTTATTTTTTGAGACGGAGTTTCACTCCTGTTACCCAGGCTGGAGTGCAATGGTGCAATCTCGGCTCACCGCAACCTCCGCGTCCTGGGTTCAGGCAATTCTCCTGCCTCAGCCTCCTGAGTAGCTGGGATTACAGGCATGTGCCACCATGCCCAGCTGATTTTTTGTATTTTTAGTAGAGACGGGGTTTCACCATTTGACCAGGATGGTCTCGATCTCTTGAGCTCGTGATCCACCCGCCTCGGCCTCCCAAAGTACTGGGATTACAGGGATGAGCCACCGCGCCCGGCCTAATTTTTATTATTTAGTAGAGTTACGATCTCACTACATTGCCTGTCACCCCGGCTGGCTGGCTGGCTGGTTTTGAACTTCTGGCCTCAAGTGATCCTCCGGCCTCAAGTGATCCTCCTGCCTCAGACTCCCAAAATGTTGGGAATACAGGCATGAACTACTGCTACTGGCCTAGATAAGAATTCTTAGGTGGTTTTGGGTTGATTTAAATGCTGAGAACTCATTTGCTATAGAGTAGGTTGGTTGAAATCCAGTTGCGTTTTGAGACTAAAAAGTAAACCAGATTTACTCCCCAAAAACGTTGCTGTGTTTCAAATAAGTGAAATATTTGCCCCTTTAAAGATTAGAAGTTGGCTGGTTGCAGTGGCTCACACCTGTAATCCCAGCACTTTGGGAGGCCAAGGCAGGTGAATCACTTGAGGTCAGAAGAGTTTGAGAGCAGCCTGGCCAATATGGTGAGACCCCGTCTCTACTAAAAATACAAATATTAGCCAGGCGTGGTGGTGCACGCCTGTAATCCCAGCTACTCGGGAGGCTAAGGCAGGAGAATCACTTGAACCCGGGAGGTGGAGGTTGTAGTGAGCCAAGATTGCATCACTGCAGTTCAGCCTGAGTGATAGAGCAAGATTCTGTCTCCAAAAAAAAAAAAGATTAGGAGTCATATTTACATAATTTTATTTCTATTTCTGTAAGGTCTAATTTTTAAAATATTTCTGAACATTGATAATAGAATCTGTCCAGTTAGGATTTGTGATTTGTGCCTTGTTCAATAGTTTTTATTTTAATGATTTAAAAGAACACATTAGCTTAAATTTTTTTTTTTTTTTGTAATATTTTAGCAAAGAATGGCTCAAGAAGTACTGACACATTTAAAGGAGCATCCTGATGCTTGGACAAGAGTCGACACAATTTTGGAATTTTCTCAGAATATGAATACGAAAGTAAGCAAGTGGTGGTTTAAAAATCTGTTATTTCTTTTCTTCCAGTCATAAACTTTGAGGAAGGTATCTCATTTTTAGTATTAGCATTTGTTATCTCAAATCATTTTATATTGTTAACTTGTTTCTAAATTTAGTCTTAAGCATATTATGAATTCTTGCAAATAGTCCTAAGAATTATGAATTTAGTTTTGTAATGGGACTAGTATGCAAGGTGGCTCTTTTGGTTGTCTGTTCTTGTTTTTTTCTTTTTAGAATATGTATACAGGTCTTTGTAGCATAAATTCTGAATGTTATTCAGAGATGAAACATAACATTAAGGAATTATTTTGGGCAAGTAATCAATATAATACAGGCTAGGCACCTCTGACACCAAGTTGTGTGGACAGGTTAAAACCCTACTCCATGGCATTGGGCTTTTAATGGGATAGCTCACAGTTTTTATTTACAATGGAAAATGTTATAATTCGGGTCCTTTTTTAAGTTTGAACAGAAGGGTTGATCAAAATGTGTTTTATCTGTTTTAGTCTTGATGATTCACACTTCTCTTTAAACTGCCTTAAAGTAATAAAATACTATGGCATTCTGTTTAATACACGAAAGGTTTCCACTTGATATACATTGTGTTAAAACAGAAAATAGCCATATTCACATCTGTTTCTGAAACCAGACTGTGTTAATTAACAGTTTAAAAATATTAGTTTTGACATCTTGTAAATTTTAGGTCAAAAATACAGTCCAGAACTTCCTCAAAGTGCTAACCTTAAGTAACATAACAGTGTTTGCCTGTTTGCTTGCCTGGTAAATTTTGCTTTTTATACTGACAGACATTACTAATGTTTAAGTTGATTTATCAACAGTATTTTTAAAAACTCAAATTTGTCTTGTGAAAAATGAGATGATTAGAGGAACAGAAAGAAAGCAACAGGTAAAGAATTCTTCAATTTACATAAATTACAAATGATTTGGTGCTAAATTTATGCACTATGACATTTGGCTTTTATGCAATCATTTTTTTTTTCTTTAAAGATGTTAACACTACCTGATATTAATCATAATGTTCCATTATGTTGATTGCTTGTAATAGGAAGAAAAGGGGTGTCTTCCTGTGCAACTGACACAGCTAGGCTTTGACGGCAGGCCTCCACAAGGTCTACCCTTTTGATTCCCTTTAACTGAATTCTGTTCATCAATTGTTTTTGTTTCATGGGCGGTGGGAGGGGAAAGGGGAATTCAATGCATAAAATAAGTATTTCTAAGGGCTCAGTAGAAATTTCTACCATAGGGATCATTTCATGCATTTATTTTTTCATTTAGTCTTTGCTGTTATCTGTCCCTCATCTTCATAACTCAGCAGTGGATTTCTCAAGTTCTGAGATGTAAAGCAAAACTGTAATTCTTTAGAATGTTTGGATTATAGTGATTTGTCATTGGCTTTGAGATTTGACTGTCACTTCAGATTTTTCAGCAAAAAAACTTAAAAATTCTTTGAAGAGACATAACCTCAGTTTGTTGCCCACACTGGAGTGCAGTGGTATGATCAAAGCTCACTGTAACCTCAAACTCCCCAAGTGACATTCTGCCTCAACCTTCCAAGTAGTAAGGGCTACAGGTGAATACTGCCATGCCTGGCTAATCTAATTTTTTAATAGAGGGTGTCTCCCTATATTGCTCAGGCTGATCTTAAATCCTGGTCCTCCATCTTGGCCTCCCCAAAGTGTTGGGACTGTAGTTGAGGGCCACAGTGCCTGACCCCTTTTTTTCAAAAGAATGTAAGTTCTCTTTATTTCAGTTTCAGAGGCAAAGTCTTTATGTCTGGGAGAGGTTGGGTTTTAGGATATTATGGTAACAGATGTATTCTTCTGACCTAACCTGGGCAAAGCTTTGATTGGGCTCCCTGCTTCAACCCCCTTGGCAGAAAGATGAAATATGAATTTCTTCATCAGGCTTATTATGCTACCTTTATACAGTTGTAGGAAGTAACTACACATTACTAAGTAGTAATTTTAGGTAATAAAATATGAAATAGGAAGAAGTAAATACAGCAATAAAGAAAGAACAATGTCTTTCATTAAAAATGTAGACAAATAAAAAAAATGTAGACAAAAAGTTTGGCTGAGATGGAAGTTATCTTTAAGATTTCTTTTTCTAACTATATGGTGAATTTTGTTTCTTAGTGTTTTAAAGACTTTTTAATTGATTTTTGGCAAGAGGATACATTGTAAGCAGTGCGTTGCTTTGACTTACTGAGTCTTGACAATCTGATTTCATGCCTACAAAGTTAAAGAAAACGTTTAGGGTAGTATGTTTTTAAAAGCTAATTAAGAATTTTAGGCATTTGGAAAATTCTCTTTTTTGCTTATTTATGTATTTCTCAGACCTAGACATAATAAAGAGCTGTGTTTTTTAAAATGAGCAGGTTAGAAAGCATCACTATTTACTGCTGATTATGAAACATTTTAATAGCATCAAATTTGTAATTATAGAATTTTGCTTTGGGCTTGTTTTTATTTTGAAAGATTTTAAGGAATGTTCTGCAAATGTAGTATTTTAGTTGCAGTGGCAAAATTTTCCTGAAAAGTGTGAAATGTTAAAATGAAAGAAAACAGCAAAAACATTCACTGTTTGAGCACAATGTAGTTTGGGACAGTCTATATTGTGCTTTGGATAAAATGAGCATTCACATGATCCCTTTGGTTGAAATACTAATGCTCCTATTTTATTGTGTAATGACTAACCATTTTAAAGATGAACTCTTATTCTCAGCCAAAACTTGCAATCTGAGGTTATATGTCTATGTATGAATGCATTTACCTTTCAGGTATTATAGCTAATTCTTCCCTAATTCAGTTGAAATGTACCACGACGGTTGTGCCCCTTTTCTTCCTCCTGCCTATCCACACTAATTGGTCATAGTAAGAATTCAGGTAGTAATTCCTGGACCTTTATAAATTATTATAAATATTGTTGACTATTTAGAGTGAGTAATCAGCAGGAGGGACAAAATGGCTTGAAAGTGGTATCTCTATTTTTTAACTTTTTATACTTTTAGTTATAACTGTCAGTATTTAGGAAGAAATACCTGAAAGGTAGATAACAGATTGCAACATGCATTTGTGTATTATTTTGACTGTGCACAAAAGTTTATCTTTAAATTAGTAGAAATAGCAATTATAAGGGTGGGGTTAAAATATAAAATAAACCCATGGGTTGTCTTGCTGCTCCTTAAGTAACACACCAGTGATGCTTGTAAACACTTTCTATAGAAAGTTTCTGTGACAATACTTTAATATTTGGCCAAAAGCTTACAACTCCTAGAGGATGGTAGGAAGCTTGATAGCATCCAAGCTGCTAAATTCTTAGGAGCCTGTTCGTGTTAAAGTACGTGAGCCTATTGAGTAGTCATTTATGCTGTGAATTCATATCTGGCTGCTACTTTTCCTTCAACAGATAAGCCCATTTGGCTGCTAAAGGGCTTTTTATTTGGTTCTTCCTCCTGGTGTGAGCATGTATAAACAGCAGGACGTTATATAGAATAGTAAACAATAAAATGAGGAAAATGCATGAAAACTCAGTATATGGGTGAATAGATACTTGTTTAATATATGTAATTAAACTTGGTAGCATAATGTTTTTGAAACTTTAGATGTAAATGTGTGAATGTCTGTCCATTTGTGAATCCTGAGAGTTGCCAGTCCTATATAGCAATATATTCACATGCTTCTGTTCTCCAATTTTCAGTATTATGGACTACAAATTTTGGAAAATGTGATAAAAACAAGGTGGAAGATTCTCCCAAGGAACCAGTGTGAAGGTAGGAAAATATAATAAAGAATTATAAATTCAGAATTTTGTTATTTCTGGCAATTCCCGGCATTTTTATTATACTGAGGGGGCATATAATAAATCTTGAGTATATTTTGCTTTAATGGAGCTTATTGCTTTTATCATGAGGCAAAGCAGGTTCTGTTTGTATTGGTGGGTATAGGAAGGCCACTTGTAAGTTACCTTCTGGGAGAAAAAGTAGACCAGACTATTGAAAACTCTGACAGTAAATATTCTGGTTAAAAACATGGGCTGGGGGCCGGGCATGGTGGCTCATGCCTGTAATCCAAGCACTTTGGAGGCCAAGGCAGGCGGATCACCTGAGGTCGGGAATTCAAGACCAGCCTGACCAACATAGTGAAATCCCATCTTTATAAAAAATAAAAATAAATTAAAAATACGGGCTGGGGGCCTGGCACGGTGGTTCATGCCTATAATCCCAACACTTCAAGAGGCTGAGGTGAGTGGATCGCTTGAGCCAAGGAGCTCAAGACCAGCCTAGGCAGCATAACAAGACCTGGTCCGGACAAAAAATTTAAAAATCAGCCAGGTGTGGTGATACATGCCTGTGGTCCCAGCTATATGGGAGGATTACTTGAGCTCAGAAGGTCGAGATTGCAGTGAGCCATGATCCTGCCGCTGTACTCCAGTCTGGGTGACAAGAGTGAGACCCTGTTTCCAAAATATATATATGTATGTATATATGCATATGGGCTGGGCAGTGGCTCAAGCCTGTAATCCCAGGACTTTGTGAGGCTGAGGTGGGAGGTTCGTTTAAAAAAAAAATTAGCCAGGTGTTGTGGTGCAGGTGGCAGGGGATGGGGGGCTATCAGAGGGGTGAGGTAGGAGGACCCCTTGAGCCAGGAGGTTGAGGCTGCAGTGAGCCATCATTGTGCCACTTTACTCTAGCCTGGGCAACAAAGGGAGACCATGTCTTTAAAAAAAAAAAAAAACAAAAAAAACAAAAACAAAAAAAAACATAATTAATGTAGAATATGTCTGAAGTTCACCAGACAGTAACTGATAAGCAGTAAGTATTAAAACATGTAAGGTTAACCCAGGAAGGGAAAAGCCACATACTAAAATCACAAGGCTCTTTTACCTTTTGTGATTCTGGGAATGCCTTGTTAGAGGTTGGCTTCTTAAATGAAGATGATCAGAAAATGAAGATGTTAGTGATACCTGTTATTAATAATTTAACTTTTCTGTCTGCTACCTTGAGGAGTATAGTCATATTTTGAGAAACCTGAGGCAAGGTTAGTCTCTTGGGATTCTTGATGTGGGTAATTTCAGTTATGATACACTGCCTTTTTACCTACTCTATTTCATTTATCTCTGAAAAATAGAAATTTTTTCCTTCATTACAGAGCATATGAGAGTTCTAGTGGCATTTTCTTTTAAAATATGTCTCCTTTCTTTATTTATTGGTCTTTAAGTAGTGTCCTTTACCTGCTTTCTCTTATCATTGTGGTAGAATAGTGATGTGGATTTACTCAGCTAATCTGACTTAAACCGTGACAAATTTTGAGCACATTTAGAGTTGAATATGATTAAATTTTAATGCCGTATCCTTTTTTAAGAATCTTAAGGATAATCAATGGCAGTTTCTTTAATACATTATAAATCGTACGTTAAGAGCGATAGTACAGGAGCAAATAGTGTCCCCTAAAAGAGGTTCTCATTTCTTTAAGTATTTTATTATTGGTTTGAAACTATTTTAGATCATGTGCTGTGTTGGACTGAGAAATTAATAAGCACAATTTAGGTCCTTCATACTTCGTCTATACTCTTCAAGGATCTTTGATGTAATCATCCCGTGTTTCTTTACTACTATTGTTTTACTCATGTGTTATGGGCCATGGCCTGCCATACCAACAAAAGGTGTTTTTTACTTTTGTGCTATTTTACTGTAGTATGATTTTAAATCCTCCTTTCGTTCTTAAATCTGCTTTTTTTTTTTTTTTTTTTTTTTTTTTTTTTTTTTTTATTTTTTTTTTT